AACAATATGGAGATTCTGAAAAAAAAACTAGAAATAGAATTATCATATAATCCAGCAATCTCACTACGGAGTATATTTCCAAAAGAACTGAAATTAGTAAGTCAAAGAACCATCTGCAGTGTCATGTTTACTGCAGCACTATTCACAAAAGCCAAGATATTCCATTATCATAGGTATTCAACAATAGATAAATGGATAAAGAAAATGTGGTATATATACACAATGAAATATTATTTACTTATAAAAAAAGAATGAAATTTTATCATTTACAGCAACATGGATGGAACTGGAGGGCTGTATGTTAAGTGAAATAATTCGGGCACAGAAAGACATAACTGCATGTGGAAGTTAAAATACTACAGTTGCCACCAGAGCCTAGGGAGGATTTGGGAAAGAAAAATGCATAGATGATAAATGTGCACAAGGGTGCAACTGAACAGATAAATAACTTCTAATGTTCTATGGCACAGTATGACAAATATGGCTTATGGTTCAATGAGTATTTCAAAATAGCCAGTATAGAATCAGGGTGATATACAGAATTTAAACAGATCAATTTCAAGTGACGAAATAGCAGATGTCATCAAAAGTCTACCAACCAAGAAAAGCCCAGGACCAGATGGATATATAGCCAAGTTCTACAAGACCTTTAAAGAAGAACTAATGCCAATACTCTCCAATTTATTTCAGGAAATAGAAAAAGAGGCAGCATTTCCAAACTCATTCTATGAGGCCAATATCACTCCAAAACTAGGCAAAGACACATCAAAAAAAGAAAACTTCAGACCAATATCTCTAAAGAACATAGATGCAAAAATACTCAATAAAATTCTGGCAAATCGAATACAAAAACATATCAAAAAGATTGTGTATCATGATTAATTGGAATTCCTCCCAGGGATGCAAGATTGGCTCAACATACAGATATTGATAAATATAATTCATCACATCAATAGACTTAAAGATAAGAATCATATGATCATCTCAATAGACACAGAAAAAGCATTTGACAAAATACAGCACCCCTTTATGTTCAAAACACTAGAAAAACTTGGGATAACAGGAACATATGTCAACATCCTAAAGGCTATCTACGCTAAGCCCCAGGCCAATATCATTCAAAATGGAGAAAAATTGAAAGCATTCCCTGTAAAAACTGGAACAAGACAGGGATGCCCCCTTTCACCACTTCTATTTAACATAGTTCTTGAAACACTGGCCAGAGCAATTAGATAGACAAAAGAAATTAAAGGGATACACATAGGAAAACAAGAACTCAAATTATCACTATTTTCTGATGATATCATTCTATACCTGGAAGACCCTAAAAGTTCCACCAGAAAACCCCTAGAACTAGCAAATGAACTCAGCAAAGTAGAGGATATAAAATCAAACACCCATAAATCAAAGGCATTTCTCTGTATCAGTGACAAATCCTCAGAAAGGAAAATGAGGAAAACTACCCCATTCTCAATAGCCTCAAACAAAACAAAACAAAAAAAAAACTTGGGAATCAACTTAAAAAAAGAGGTGAAAGATCTATACAATGAAAACTACAGAACCCTAAAGAAAGAAATCAAAGAAGACCTTAGAAGATGGAAATATCTACCTTGCTCTTGGATAGGCAGAATTAATATTATCAAAATGACCATACTACCAAAAACATTATACAGATTTAATGCAATTCCAATCAGAATCCCAATGACATTCTTCATAGAAGTAGAAAAAGCAGTCATGAAATTCATCTGGAAAAATAAGAGACCGGAATAGCTTAAGCAATCCTTAGCAGGAAGAGTGAAGCAGGTGGCATCACTATACCAGATCTTAAACTATACTACAGAGCAATAGTAACAAAAACAGCATGATATTGGCACCAAAGTAGACTGCTAGACCAATGGTACAGAATAGAGGTACAGAACAGAGACTAACCCACAAAATTACAATTATCTTTTATTAGACAATGGTGCCAAGAACATACATTGGAGTAAAGATAGCCTCTTCAACAAATGTGCTGGGAAAACTGGAAATCCATATGCAACAAAATGAGATTAAACCCCTTATCTCTCACCATGCACAAAACTCAACTCAAAATGGATCAAGGACTTAAGAATAAAACGAGAGACCCTGCATCTAATAGAAGAAAAAGTAGGCCCTAATCTCCATCAGGTGGGATTAGGCCCCCGACTTCCTTAATAAGACTCCTGTGGAACAAGAAGTAAAATCAAGAATCAATAAATGGGATGGACTCAAACTAAAAAGTTTCTTCTCAGCAAAAGAAACAATCTGTGAGGTAAATAGAGAGCCTACATCTTGGGAGAAAATCTTTACCTTCTTTAGATAGAGCACTAAAAACTAGGGTATATAAAGAACTCAAAAAGCTAAATACCAAAAAAAAAAAAAAAACCAAATAACTCAATCAATAAATGGGTCAAGGACCTGAAGAGACACTTCTTAGAAGATGATGTACAATCAATTAACAAATACATGAAAAAATGTTCACCATCACTACCAATTAGAGAAATGCAAATTAAAACCATTCTAAGATTTCATCTCACTCCAGTCAGAATGGAAGCTATTATGAATACAAACAACAATAAGTGTTGGTGCGGACGTTGGGGAAAAGATACACTCATACACTGCTGGTGGGACTGCAAATTGGTGCAGCCAATATGGAAAGCAGTATGAAGATTTCTTGGAAAATTGGGAATGGAACCACCATTTACCTCTTCTCAGTCTATACCTAAAGGACTTAAAAACAGCATTCTATAGGGACATGACCACATCAATGTTTATAGCAGCACAATTCACAATAGCTAAACTGTGGAATCAACCTAGATGCCCTTCAATAGATGGATAAGAAAAAGTGTGGCACATATATACAAAGGAATATTATTCAGTAATAAAAAGAGAATAAAATCATGGCATCTGCAGGTAAATGGATGGAGTTAGATAAGATAATGCTAAGTGAGGTCAGCCAATCCCAAAAAACAAATGCCAAAAGTTTTCTTTGATATAAGGAGGCTGATTCATAGTGGGATCATGGAGGAATAGATGAACTCTAGATAGGGCAGAGGGGTTGGAGGGGAAGGGAGGGGGCATGGGGTAATTAATGATGGTGGAATGTGATGATTATTACTATCCAAAATACATGTATGAAGACATGAATTGGTGTGAATATACTATATATACAATCACAGATATGAAAAATTGTGCTCTATATATGTAATAAGAATTGTAATGCACTCTGCTGTCATATATAAATAAAAAAATTACATTTAAAAAATAGCTAGTATAGAGGATTTAGAATGTTCCAGGCACAAAGAAATTACATATGTCTGAGGTGATAAATATACTAACTTTTCTCATTTGATAAAATATGTGCAATTATTATGTGTCAATTTTGTAAAAAATTCTAAGTGCAGCACAGTGGAACATGCCTGTAATCCTTGGGAAGCTGAGGCAGGAGAATAGTAATTTTGAAGCAAGCCTCGGCAACTTAGCAATATCTAGTCTCAAAATAAAAATGAAAAGGGCCAGGGATGTGACTCAGTGGCAGAGCACCACTGGGTGCAACCAATATCAAGAAAAAAAAGTAATTCTAATGTTTTATAGTACAGTAGGGTAACTATAGTTTATAGTTATAGAGTTATAATATTGTAATTTATATATACAGCAATCTAGTATGTTTTATAAAGTCTACAACACTCTAGCATATATGTTTTATAAAACTAGAGGAAAGGGGTTAAAAAGGTCCAAATGTTAGAAATAATAAATGTATAAGATGGAAATGCTAACTACCCTAATTTAATCATTACACACTGTATGTATTGGATTATCACATTATATACCACAAATACATGCAAACATACTTACACAATCAGAAGGGTTAAAAAATAAAACAAAAATAAAATAATATTAAAATCAAAATCTAATTTGTATTGGATCAGATAATTTCTTAGGGCACTAATTATTTTACTGATAGGAAACTAAAGGCTTTAACTGATATTAACTATTTTGGGGGATGGTTAGGGAGTGACTGCCAAGGTTCATACTCAGTATTAAACTGCACACATATCTATGTTAATGACAGGAATGCTAAGATACGGAATATGGAAAATTTAACCAAAGTTAAAGAGCAAATCACTGCTGGTCTTTGTGGTTCAGGCTGGCTGAGGCAGGAGGACCAAAAGTTTGAGGCTAGCCTTGGCAACTTAGGAAGACCCTGTCTCAAAATTTAAAAAATAAAAAAAAAAGAGCTGGGATATGGCATCTTAATAGTGTACCCGTGGGTCAATTACTCAGTACTAAAAAAAAAGAAGAAGAAGAAGAAATCATCCATAGGTAAAAAAATAATCTAGTAAATTAAAAAGTTTAAATTATACTTTTATCTTTCAGATCTTTTGTGTTTGGTTTGGTTTGGTTTGGTGGTGTTGAGGACTGAATTCAGAGATCAGGCAAGCACTCTACCACTGAGCAACATCCCAGCCCTATCTTCCAACTCTTAATATCATGTTGCCTAGTACCTTTGTAAACAACTGAAGGAGAAATATGGAGAAAAGATAATTATAATATAATTTGTAAATTAAGTCCTTGGATATTATCTTTATATTTGTAAAACAGAAGTCTGACTAACAATAAAAATGTTTTCCCCTTGCTAGGGGCAGTGGCACACGCCTGTAATCCCAGCAGCTCGGGAGGCTGAAGCAGGAGGATCTCAAGTTCAAAGCCAGCTTCAGCAATGGCAAGGTGCTAGGCAACTCAATGAGACCTTGTCTCTAATACAAAATAGGGCTGGAGATGTAGCTCAGTGGTTGAGCACCCCTGAATTCAATCCTTCGTGCCAAAAAAAGAATCCTTAAGCAGATTAAGGGGGAAACCTATAATTCTTTCAGTATAGAACTCTTCAACTGAAATATCCTTTTGGAAATGAACCTACTTACACTTAAAATCTATTAGTTATGTATTACATCTACTGAACTAAATATATTAAGAAACCCTACCTGTAACCTATTTACTTTTTGAGCTTCTTTCAAAGAAACAACATGTCCTTTGTTTTCCTGTACCATCATTTGCACTTGATCCTTTAGTTCCTTCACCTCCAGTTCCTTCTGATTAAATACTACTTCATCAGCAGCAAGAGCACACTGGGAAGGAAAGAAGGCACATGTTATATTCACCACAGAAAATACTCAGAAGAACCTATATAATACCACAAAAAAATCATGATTTAATGACAGCTTGACAATGTCTCTTAAGTTCGTCTTATCCTTTTCATTTTGACTTTTTTCTGGTTTCTAAGAAAGACAGAAATAGTTGAGGGACCTATCATAGTTGTAACATAGGAATTAACTACTATGAAGACAGAAATTTTTATTTCCTGCATATGAAAACTAGTTATCTAGTTTAATTAAATAGCTACCTAGGTTCTAGAGAACATTTTACAAGTTTGCAAGAATTACTGTGAGATTTTAATGTGGGTTTTTAAAAATCAAAGAGTTCTTATTTTCCAAACTGACCTACAGAGTTTAAGAACATATTTGGACATTTAAATAAAGTATATTTGCAGATTTTGTATTCTTTCACTATTAAGAGATATATTTTGAAGCCTGAAAAGATGGTTAAGCAGTTTTAGTACTTTGTTTCTGGTGAAACTAGTCTATTTTAAAGTAAACTTGGATTATGCAAATAATAATTATTGAATAATCTTTAAGTTAAACAGAAAATTATTTGCCAAGGGCCTACACTTCATGCCAGATACTGACTCTCTCTCTCTCTGTGTATATGCATGTATGTATTATATATATATTTGGGGGAGTACTGGAAATTGAACCCAGGTGCACTTTAGCACTAAGCTACAATCCCAACCCTTTTTATTTTTATTTTGAGACAGGGCCTTGCTAAATTGCTTAGGGCCTGATTAAGTTGCTGAGGCTGGCCTCAAACTTCCTATCCTCTTATCTCAGCCTCCCAAGTTGCTAGGACTACAGAAGTGCACCATCACAGCTGGCTCCCCTGCTTAGTATTTTAAAAATTTCAGTGAGTAAACATGATTCCTTTACATTTAAGAAACTAAGGCTCAGTGAGATTAAATCTCTTTCCAGATGATATGTGTCTCCAAACCCCTGAGATTAAATTCTAGGGACCTATTTCTTCTTTTTTTTTTGGGGGGGGGACGTATAAGAGATTGAACCCAGGGGCACTTAACCACTGAGCCACATCCCCAGCCCTTTTTTATATTTTTTTTAATTAGAGACAGGGTATTACTGAGTTGCTTAGGGCCTCGATAAATTGCTGAGACTAGCTTTGAACTCATGATCCTCCTGCATCAGCCTCCTGAGCTGCTGGGATTATAGGCAGGAACCACAGAGCCTGGTGTCCCACCTCCCTTTGTTTTGGTACCAGAGATTAGACTCAGGAGCACTAAACCACTGAGCCACATCCCTAGCCCTATTGTGTATTTTATTTAGAGACAGAGTCTCACTGAGTTGTTTAGTATCTCGCTTTTGCTGAGGCTGGCTTTCAACTCGTAATCCTCCTATCTCAGCCTCCCAAGGTGCTGGGATTACAGGCGTGGACCACCACACATGGCTCCTATTTCTTTTTTGAGACACACACACACACACACACACACACACACACTCACACAAAGATGCACTCATTCGTATTCTAACTTTCCTTCACAGGAATGTTCTTTCTACAAGGCGACAGGTATAGCCAAGAATGAGTAGTTCATTTACAAAAATACTGCTCTCTTTACAAAAAAGATTTAATCAATAAAACGTAGATGTTTGCAGTATGTGTATGACTCATCCAGAGGTGACACAGCAGTGGATGGGATCCTGTACTGGGAACCCTGGTCTAAAGCCAGCCTTGATTTTTATCACAGCTTCATAGCAGGACTCTAGGCAAGTCCCTTCTTTTCTGTTTGGGATTCTTCACCAAATTAGGAGGGGAAGTGATGCTGATTATCCTTATAATGCTTTATGGCTGCATAACCTATAGTTACATCTGTAAATTAAGATATAATTCTCATTAGTTAATATCTTCTTTCTGTAGGCAACTGATTGAGAAATTTAAAATATAACTTCTAGTTTGGTATATTTAAGTACAAATTATTTATAACTTAGTTTTATTTGGTTTATTATTTATTTAAAAAGTTTTTATCTGTTCAAAATATGTACCTTCACATACTATTCTTTTTAAAAAATTATTTATTTTTCAGCTGTAGTTGGACATAATACCTTTGTTTTATTTATTTATTTTTATGTGGTGCTGAGGATCGAACTAAGGGCTTTGCACGTTCTAGATGAGCGCTCAACTACTGAGCCACAACCCTAGCCCATACATACTATTCTTATATCCAAAATTTGGAATAAAAAAATTCCTTTAAGAGGTATTTATAAGGAGGTAGAGTATTCCAATAATTGACTAATGGTGAAAAATCAGACTGCAATACTATCTGGCAGCTTCTAAAAAGGAGATGATCTCAAAATGATGCTTACTTTCCTCACAATAATCTGGCTAATACTGCATCTGTGAAATGGTCTACAATCTTATGTTAGCCAAGAATTTTTAAAATTAAGCACTTACCTGCTTACCTAATAGACTCAAGAAGCAGGACTGAGAAGAGAAAATATTCCTGCTTCCTCTCATGCAGAGCATGCCTCACCTTGTTACCTTGGCTAGCAATCTCCTTAAGCAGTCCATCTTACCAAGCTGCCCTCACAATAACCTTTGGGATGTTTCCCTACATATGTCTATAAATCTTATCCCTTAGCTTGCCAGTTAAACTCCCTAGGCACAAAGACAGGAAAAGTAAATTAGAAGAGATATTTATTGAGCCTTACAAAATGGAACATATTCATAAATATTCCTACTGCATATTGAAGGATAACAGCTATCTATGGGAAAAGCACCTGTGCAGCTGGGTTTTAAGCAGAACTAACAACTTTCTTCATACAGTACTATTTTTCCCATAAAGAATGACAAACTAGGGCTAGGGTTGTGGCTCATCAGTAGAGAGCTCACTTAGCACATGTGAGGCCCTGGGTTCGATCCTCAGCACCACATAAAAATAAATAAATAAAATAAAGGTACTGTGTCCAACTACAATTAAAAACAAAACAAAACAAAACAAAAACAAAAGAATGACTAACTATAACCCCAGGCTAAGGCAGGAGGATTCCAAGTCCCAAGCTAGCCTCAGCAACTTAGTAGGCCTAAGAAACTTAGCAAGACCCTGTCTCAAAGTAATAAAAAGGGCTGAGGATGTGTGTGGCTCAGTGGTTAAGTACCCCTGGGTTCAATCCCTAGTATCAAAAAAAGAATGACAATCTAAGGTTATCCAGACTTGAATATGTTGGCAGTCATATTCTTAAAAATATGAACCTCTCATTTTAAGAAATCCATCAATATTTGTTACAAATAAAGCCCAAATTTCAGGAAAAAAAAATCAGAATTTTGGAAAACACTTCTTCCATTAAGAGCTTGACAGCTTCTAATTCTTAACAACTTTGTTAATGAGATCACTGATATATTAAAGACGTGACTTATTTTCCAAATAACCAGTGAATGATGATTCAAAATCGTGTGCATATAAAAGATCCATTCAAAGGATTAGAAAAAAATAAGTAGGTTTTAGTGTATATATATTAATATGACAAAACAGTGCTAAAAACACATTGCAAATAAACACCAGAAATTTCTATTTTGCTTTGAATTTTGATGCAGTATCAAATAACTTTCAAAATTACCTGAAAATGTTATTAAAATACAACCCGCTTCCAACTACAAATCTGTATGAGAGTAGATTTTCCTAATAATTTCAGTAAAAAAATGCTAAGACACATATGAAAATCCAACTCCCTTCTATTAAGGTAGATGTTAAAAGACATTTGCAAAAATAGAGTACCTGATATTTTTTAAGCTCTCTCTTCAGCTGGAGAACTGTGATATGCTGTGGTCCTCCTTCCAGGTTTCCAATTCCTTGGTTTGCTTGAAATGAGGTGAGGACAGCCTTCCTGACCTCCTGAGTCATGTTAAACCAGTCCTGCAATTTGTGTTGCTGCTTTTGGTTTAGTCTGACTGCATCTTTTAAGTCCATCAGGAAGGTAAAGGCTTCCTCTATACAATTTTGGTAACCCAGGCATTCTCCTTTTAACTGAGTTACTTGCTCCTCAAGAGAATGGATCCTGTTTTTATCAGGACTGCCCTCTCGTGGGATCTGGCTAGTTTGGCTGATACTACTCTGATGGCTTTGCAATGCTTCTCGAAGCAATTTAATCTCAAATTCCATTTCATCTATACGGTCTGATTCAGGGCTAAAGTTTAAAGTGGGTTTGTTTCTAATATTCCGTGCTCTGTTGGCATATTTCAGAGAATTTAAGGACTCATCAAAATCCAAGGAAGATGGACTGACACATGTTATCATGACAGTCTTGGCACTGCCTCCCAGGGAATCTTTCAAAAGCCGAGTAATTTTAGCATCCCTGTATGGAATATGTGAACTCTTCCTACGTGGGTCCCCGAGGGCACTTATTACGTTTCCTAAAGCCAGCAACCCACTGTTGATCTGAATGGATTCTTTGAACCGTTCACCAGTATTCCCTGTTTTGGTTACTCTTTCCGATCCAGCCAAATCTACAAAATGGAACTTTGAGATAATATGCCGATGGGAATACCATGATCCATCTTCTGATGCCTCCATAGTTTTCTCAACTTGACAAATGCTGATTGTAAAAATTGCATGTGATCTACTGGAGTGCTCATTCATCTGGGTGGTACCTGTATGTCTGGCTGCATTCCCCATCTCTAGAAGACTCATTACTTCATCCACACTCTCCACGTGGCATTCCTTGGCCCCAACAATCACTTGAAATAGCAATAGCAAGATTTCATCAAAGTCCAGTATAATTAAACTAACCACACAACACTTATCATTTGTGAAACAGCTCAGCTAAAATATTTCATTAAAAATAAAAAAATTTCAAATAGTAACATCAATAACATCATTAAACAATTTCAGAAAATCTCCCAAAGGACTCATTTTAGCAGACAGCACTCAGTTTAATATTTAAACTGTACAAGATATAATTTTTTTAGGGGCTGGGGTTGTGGCTCAGAGGTAGAGTGCTCGCCTAGCATGCATGAGGCACTGGGTTCGATCCTCAGCACCACATAAAGTAAAATAAAGACATTGTGTCCACCTAAAAGTAAAAAATAAATATTAAAAAAAGATATTTTTTTTTAAAAATCTAGTTTTTTGGAGCCAAATATCACACTTAACTATCTTAAATGACAAACTCCTGGGCTAAGGTTATAACTCAGAGGTAGAACAAGTGCTTAGCACATACAAGGCCCTGGGGTCAATCTCCATCATCAAGAACAAAGAAATCCACTAAAATCCACTTAATTTCAATATTTTGATCTTCAAATTAAAAGAAAATAGATTAAATACATAAATTGAAAGAGCTAAATTAATAGTAAATTTATTAAAAGAAATCAATTTTAGTTTTTTTAATATACAAGCCACCCTTAGCTTTAAGGTTTTTTTTGTATTGTGGAATCATAATCAACTATGAAAATTTCAGTAAAAATAAAGTTGGGTATTCATTTTAAAAACAGGCATGCCCGGGCTGGGGATGTGGCTCAAGCAGTAGCGCGCTCACCTGACATGCGTGCGGTCTGGGTTCAATCCTTAGCACCACATACAAAGATGTTGTGTCCGCCGATAACTAAACAATAAATATTAAAATTCTAAAAAAAAAAAAAAAAACAGGCATGCCCTACACAATATGAGTGCAAGGTAAACAGATGAGATGGCAATTCAAAAAAATCAAAGAAGTTTCTATTCCAACAACAGAATAAGAAATAAAAAATAACTTAAGCTTACTACCTGCATTCATTGTTTATATTAAAAATTTTCTGAAAAGGAATAGGTGCATTTGGGATTTGTGTAAGAGGAGTCAAGCTCTTGATTCCTTGCTCAAATTATAGTGCCAATGCTTCCTCTTTGATCCGATCTTGTCATGTCATTTTTTTTGGAAAAATAATTTCATCTATATCATTTCTATCATGATACATTTTTAACATCCTCATTCATTTTTAAGTTCTAAAGTATATGTACATAAATAAGCAGTATGAAAATGATCAATTATTAATATGGCAACGCAGTTATAAATCAGCAGAACTTTCATAAAATTTTTCCAATGTTGGGCTATATTTTGGCACTACAGTTCTCAAACTACAATTCCCAGTCTCCATCCTAGATCAATTAAATCAGAAACTCTGAGAAGTAGAACCTAGAAATCAACATTTTTTAAAAAAGCTTCCCACCTGGGGCTGGGGTTGTGGCTCATTGTAGAATGCTTGCCTAACATGCATGAGGCACTGGGTTCGATCCTGAGCACCACATAAAAATAAAATAAAGGTATTGTGTCTACCTACAACTAAAAAGAATTAAAAAAAAAAAAAGCCTCCCAACTGTTTACTAATTGTCCAGTATACAGTACCTCTAAGTTCAATCAGTATAAAGTACCTCTGAGTTCAATCCCCAGGACCAAAAAAAAAAAGAAAGAAAAAAGAAAGTACTAAAATAAACAAACAGAAAAGTACTATAAAGAAATTTGTCAAATAAATGCATTTTTGGTTGTGAATGGGCCATTAAACAAGATATAGGAATTTGTTTTAAGATTGTTTGTACATCCTTCCAAACCTTTGCAGGACTAATATCAGCTGTGAAATATTTTAATAATTAAATTATTACAAGTAGTATAGCATATACTTCTATGTTGTTTAATGCTTCACAATTAGCATATATTATTTTTGTGATTTTTTTTTGATAAAAGACAACATTCAATAATTCTGTTCCATATGATAAAAAGTTCAAAACATCAGTCTGAATTCTATTCAGACGAGAGAAATTATAGTGATTTACCTAATAAGATCATAAACTACCATGTTTACTTTTTTCTGAAAAATAAGACAAAAATCATATTCTTCAGACATCTAAAAACGCCAGGACTGCCAGGACGGGTCTATAAAGAGGCAAGATCTAAAGTCCCCTACAGATTACTATTTGAATGAAAATGCCCATCTTCCTTTCCTAAGCACTAGAAAAATCTCCCCAGGAAGTCACTTTTCTGGGGATTGCAAGGAAGGTTCTGCTAAATGTGTTATCTATCTAGGAGAGGAGGACAGTCAAGAACAGTTATTACACCCTCCACCCCTACCCAGAGCCATTGAAGAGCAACAGCCATGGCTCTGGGGTACCTCAACAAGAGGCCCATGGTGACCAAGAACATGAACAGGTCGAAGCACAGCCACCATTGGAGGCACCTTACCAAGCATACCAGTTCGTGCAGGACAGGATCTGAAACCTGTGTGGCTGTGCCCACTATGGGCATCATGCCATGGAGCTATTCAAGATCTCCAAGGGCAATTGGACCCTCAAGTTCGACAAGAAAAGGATGGGGACACATCCACCACGTTAAAAAGAAGCAAGAGGTGGGGCTGGGGATGTGGCTCAAGCGGTAGCACGCTCACCTGGCATGTGTGCGGCCCGGGTTCGATCCTCAGCACCACATACAAACAAAGATGTTGTGTCCGCCAAAAAATAAATATTTTTTTAAAAATTCTCTTTAAAAAAAAAAAAAAAAAAGCAAGAGGAGCTAAGCAATGTCCTCTGTGAGGAAAGCAGCTGCCAAGAAGGACTGAGCCCCATTTTCTCAATAAACCTTTACAGGAAGAAAACAAACCAAAAAACCCATTCGTTGCAATGTTATTAATAATAGTTTATAACCTGGAAACAGCCTAAATGGCCAACAATGGAACACTACTTAAATAAAATATGATAACACATTCATAACACAAATTACCACAGGACCACAGAATCATAAGTTTCAAAAATATTTAATGACATGTGAAAATGCATATAAATATTAAATAAAAGTAAAATGCAAAACTATAAGAGGTGGGTCGTGCAAGTATCCAGAAAAATAAATTACACGTATCCAGAAAATTACACATATCCAGAAAAATAAATCTAGAAGGAAACATACCAAAAGAGAAGCTATAAGCTGGAGGTGTAGCTTTGTGGTAGAGTACTTGTTCAGTATGTGAGGCCCAAGGTTGGATCCCCAAAGACAGACAGACACACAGACACACACACATACATACATACACACTAAAATAAATTTAAAGAGAGAGAAGGATAGGAGAGAAAGTTGCTATTTCTAGGTTCTGGGATCAAAGACAATCTTTAGTTTTCTTCCCTATAGTTTTCTGTTTTGAAAATGTACTATAATGAAAATACTAGCTTTTAAATCAGAAAAACAAAAGTCATTATTTTTTTAACTACTTGTATTTTGAACCGGGCATAGTGGTACACAACTGTATTCCCAGCAACTCAGGGAGTTAAGGCAGGAAAAATTAAGAGTTCAAAGTCAGCCTCAGCAACTTAGTGAGACCCTAAGCAACTTAGTGAGACCCTATCTCTAAATATTTTTTAAAAGGGCTGGGGATGTGGCTCAGTGGTTAAGTGCCCTTGGGTTCGATCCCTGGTTTAAAATTAAAAAAAAAAAAAAAAAAAACTTGCATTTTGACCCTACCATTGTAATCTTCGATTTCCAAACAATTTTTTATTAATTACTAAAGTTAAAAAGGTTACTAGTACAGAAAGGCAGACATTGAAAAGCATAACAAAAGATGGTAAATGTCAATATAAAGAAGTAAAAACATAAAAAATATAAACTCTAAACTTAAAAAAAGAAATAGGTATGCTGGAACAAAAATTTGAAAATTTAAGAGAAAGAAAGGAGAGTTTTGGATCAGCCTGGATGAATACCTAAAGTAAAAGTCATCCCCAATCTCTGAGGAAAATATACAAAAATAATTGTAGCTGATATCACAGTCACACTTGAGTTCAATGCAGAGGAAGGCAATTATAGGAAATCACTATCATGAACTAGAAATTAATCAGAAGAACTAATTTTTCACCTGAGTATTTACATAAAATTAACAATCAAAAGATTAATAATCAATAAGCTATTCAACTTAAAAGTAAAAACAAGGGGCTATGAGTATAACTCAGTGATATAACACCTGTGTACTGTGGGCAAGATGTTCGGTTTGATCCCCAGCACCCGAAATTTTAGTTAATTAATTAACTAATAAAAAGTTAAAAACAAACTCAGGCTGGACATAGTAGTACACACCTGTTATCCCAGTTACTTAGTAGGCTAAAGCAGGAGGATCCCATGTTTGAGGCTAACTTTAGCATCTCAAAATTAAAAACGGTTGGCGATATAGCTTAATGGTAAAGCACATTTTAGTTAAATCTCCAGGGCCAAAACCAAACAAACACACAAATTCATTCTGCTTCTATCATTTGTTTCTTTAGAATATCCAGAAACTGAATAAAGCATATCTATTTGCTAATGAAGGCAATCAATTAAGTAAGGCTACTTCACCTGTGTTTCCTTTTTCATCTTCTCGGATGTGAAGATCTTTCATGGATGTCTCCAATTCCAGAAGATCTCTTAGGTCTTCCTTGTATACTTCTATGTAGGATACTTTTATAACAAAGTTAATGCTAGGATTTTCAGAGATGCTTTGAAATATTTCTTCGATAGCACGAGGAATGATACCCTTTTGACCCTCCACAACTGAAGCTGAAAATTTAGAAAGGAAAGTACATCTGGAACTTGAAATACAAGAAAAGCTACTATCCAAAATTTATACTTAATAAATTTTCCTACATTTCTATTGTGAAATTTTTTAAAACACAAAATGATAAAATTCATAGATCAAAATATTTATATGCATCCCTTTACTCAGAATTTATTCATACATTCATTCAACAAATATTTACTTAGTACCTAATATGTACCATGCACTATTCTAGCACTCTGGACAAAACAGAGGAGAAACAAATTCCTGACCTCTTGTGAGTCTAGTAAGGAGAAAGAGCAATAAAAAAATAAATGTGCTGGGTGCGATGGTGCATGCCTGTAATTCCAGCAGCTCAGGAGGCTGAGGCAGGAGGACTGCAAGTTCAAGGCCAGCCTCAGCAACTTAGTGAAACCTTAAGCAACTCAGCAAACCCTGTCTCAAGATAAAATAAAAAAATAAAAAGAACTGGGAATGTAGCTCAGGGATATAATGCTCCTGGGTTCAATCTTCAGTGTAAAAAAAATAAAAAGGATACATATTTATACACCCAAAGATGTTATGTAAGGATAAGTAAGTATTGCTTGTATGAAAAAAAAAATCAACACAACCTAATGATCTATTAAAAGCATGCCTAGTTAACAATGGTATACCCTGCACCTACTATAATATAGATGTCTAAGATCTATGAATAAAAGAAAAGCAATTGTCTTATCTGGCTAAAAGAACATATACATATCTACACAAAAATACTTAAAATAAAATTGTTTACCTTTGGGAGTTAGAATAAAAAGTGAAAACAAAGGAACATTTTAATTTTTTTATCTTATAGTTGTCATATTTGAATTTTTACCATTTAAGATCATTTAAATACATAAACCTGTTACTTAAAGGGTTCTTGTTGTTTAGATGTTTTTTCCCCCAGTACTGGGGATTGAACCCAGGGGTGCTTTACCACTGAGCTACATCCCCAACCCAGTCCCTCCCCCCACTTTTTAAAATTTTGTGATAGGGTCTTACCAAGTTGCTGAAGCTGGCCTCAAACCTGTGATCCTCCTGCCTCAGACTCCCTAGTAGCTTGGATTACAGGCATGTATCAGGATATGCATCATACCCAGCAACATAAAGCTTTAAATATAGTTATAAAATAAACTAAATATATTGTAGAGAACTGGAAAAAGCATATAACAAGGAAGCTTATAATAACTAAATGACAAGCCAAACCAATAAATTAAACATATTTATATAAGTTTAAGACAAAAACAAAAGATGTGATAAAATATATTATTGAAAGTCCCATGAATGCTTTAGACCACAAGTGGCATTAGTGAAACTCAAAGCAGGTAGGTACAATAGAAATATCCATTTTGATATAAAAGATTAAATTATGTAAAAATATAATTAAAAGTACGTTATATATTCCATAAATATGCCATGCCATTTTTATTTATTTTATTTTTTAGTTTTCGGTGGACACATCTTTATTTTATTTTTATGTGGTGCTGAGGATCGAACCCAGCGCCCCCACATGCTAGGCGAGCGCGCTACGGGTTGAGCCACATTCCCAGCCTGCCATGACATTTTTAAAATATTTATTTTCTAGTTGTTGTTGGACACAATACCTTTATTTTATTTATTTTATGTGATGCTGAGGATCGAACCCAGGGCCTCACACATGCTAGACGAATGCTCTACCTCTGAGCCACAACCCCAGCCCCAGCCATGCCATCTTATAAACACATTATCTTCCTAATTCACTAATTCACTGTTCCTTAAAAACTAGATCCAAGGAAGTGGACCTGGCTCATTAAAACTCCTTTTATAAAAAGGGCTGTCCTTACCCAAATCTACCCCATCCCTGGGGTATTCACCAGTGTCCCCAATACTAGTGGGAGCCACGGTGATAAAAACGCTGAAGCTTTTAGACAATGTAATTTCTAAAGCAGAAAAAGATGCAGGGAGGACAAAACAATACTGGCAACTGACCCCACACGAGACCAACCTATTTCATAGCTCTTTATACTAAAATCCCTTTCTATTTAGATCATTTATTACAGACTGGGTAGAATCTCAATCACTAGCATTGTTTATTTTAGTAAGAATAATTTGTTTTTTAAAAAAAGCACTTATATTAATCGTATTTCTTCACTCTTAGAATCTTAGACTTATTTATTCACTTGAGAATCTACTGAGATTTTGGGATGGGGTAGAAAGGTGAAAGGGACTTGAAAATAGAAAGGTGTAGAAACTGCAGGGAAGCAAAGCAGTCTGATGGTGACAGGGTATGTATGCAGGAGAGATGTAGAAAGGCCAGTTCTGCCCAAGCCTAGAAAAAGAATCCAGGAACAAGGAAGAGAACATATCCACATCATTATTTGAATCCACAACTTACACAACCTGGAACATAGATTAGTACCATAGCATTTGAGTGAACATTTATTTATGTTCCATTTTTAAAAAGGAGTAAAAGCAGCTTTACATATACCTATGACAGACATCTGTATACCAGTGTTTACAGCGACATTATTCACAAAAGTCAAAAGGAGATTATAAACCAAGTGTTCACTGACAGAGAAATGAATAAATAACACTTAGTATATACAATGAGATATTATTCAGTCAAAAAGAAATGAGGTTCTGATACATACTACAATATGCTGAGAGAAGTCAGAAGCAGAAAGACAAGCATTATATGATTCTACTTCTATGAAATATCTAGAATAGTCAAACATTTACAGAGATAGAATGTAAATTGGAATTAGAGGGTAAAGGCTGAGGTATTCATTGCTTAATGGATATAGAGATAAAAATTTTTGGAAAGAGTGGTATTAACACTGTGAATATATATTTGATACCAAATACCTATGCACTTAAAAGTACAATTAAAAGTACTAGTTGTTTGTATTTATGTATATTTTCCACCATTTTAAAAATAGTAAAAAAAAGTATACAAGATAAAATTTAAAATAAATGGAGGGCTGGGGATGTGGCTCAAA